CTTGCCTTGACCGATTTCATTCAAACTTAGCATTGACATCAGTCATGGTGAGTTACTGATACACATCATTTCTTTTGGGATTCAATTCAAAATGGCGGACTGGTGATAATTTTCGTCAAAAACGAATAAAATTACAAAATTTAAACATGTCATCAACTGTTTTTTTGAGATGCCATGACCGATTTTATTCAAACTTGGCATTTACATCATTTGGGTTAAATTTGTACAAAAACAAGATATTAGGGTTAAATTTTGTACAAAGGATATAATGAGTTAAATGTTGTTTTCAGTTATTTTTCGTTTTCATCGAAATTTAACCGAATGGCGGCCATTTTTGTCAAAAACGAATAAAATCACAAAATTCAATCATGTCATCAACCGGTCCTTGGACGTTTCTGATACACGTCATTGTTTCGTCATCATGATTCGATTCAAAGTGTCGGACTGGTGGCCATTTTTTTTTTTTTTTACGAGTGTTCTGCTTATTTTACAGAGATGAATATACAGATTTGGGTTAAATTTGGTTTGGTTAAATTTTGTCTGTCAATATCGTTTCTCTGATATGCCAAAACCTAGTGTCAGACCTTGTTCTAAAATGAGCCATTAAAATGTGTATTTCACTAAGCAGTATAACAAGAATTCATTATGCATTCTATAAAAGGTCAAATGTTTCTTGGTCTAAGTATCTATGGGACAATATCAGAGCATGTGTCTTATGTAGGAACTCCTGCCAGAGAAACTGCACAGATCATAAGGGCAAATTAACAGTCCCTGAGGATGGTAATCAGTTGTTAAAGACACATAAAACATTAATTCTCAACTCCGATGAAAGGACTAGTTACTGCGACAAACCCCTGCACCCTGCGAAAGCTACTTACTACGAAATCCACACGCCACGAAAGTCACTAATCGCGAAGCCACTAGCGTAAGGTAGTAAATATTCTGAATACTACATATGCGTGATGTAAAGAACAGTTTTCATGAGCCTGAGCCAGATTTTGGTTTAGTACACATTACCTGATAGTCAAACAAATGGCGACAGGAGGTATGATGTAAATTTTGAACATGTGTTGAGGGACGGTGGTATATGCAATATACATCACGTGTACTTGTATATGAATGACGTTATTGTTATGTCACCGTTGAAGTGCCCATAAACATACAGTATGGCAACCCTTTAGCGCAAATTGCGAAGAACTATTGGGACTTTAATATATCCAGAGTGCAATTACACGCATCCATAAAATGATATGACACAACTCACTGGTTATATTAATACTGTGGGAATAATAACCATTGCCGGTGTGTTATCTCCCTCCATCTCGTAACAGAGGGCGTTTATTCCAGCATGTGATTGGGCAGTTATCGATAGGTTAGCCATTAAGGCTTTAATCGAGCTGTGCGAACATACGCAACGACAGCAACAACGTTTGACCCTTTTTGTCAGAAGTTGTCAAAATGAAATTACTTTGTGGAATCCTGCTGATTTCAGGTACGTATTTAAATATACTGAATTCGGAGTACGTTCTTAGCCGGAATTTGGAATACTTTCTGGGTCGGAATTAATGTCTTCACTTCCTATTTCCTGTCTACGTCTTCTTTCGTCGAAATACTTAATGGACACATGATGTTACATTCTGGTCTACGTCGTACTTATATTAGTATTATACCTTGATAGAAAGATACATATTCATTTCTATAACGCTATACGTATTATATGTTTTTTATGTTTTGGCGTCAACTAAAACAACCTACTGGTATAGTCATATGACGAGATGTAATGCTGGACTTTGTACTATGCTAATTCTTTACATGAGTCATTGCGCTGTATACATACCACACGCCATGGTATGTCCCTATAGTCACGAAATACACGAGTATGGTCCGAGAAGATGACCATGTCATAATTATTACACATACATGCACACACGCGTATATACAACATACTTATGTGACAAAATAAACGTGTATCTGTCGATGTCGTACCACATATATAGCATAAGATTTAATCAGTACCAAAAGACAAAAGAAGAAAAAGCAGAAGGAATGGTGGCACTATATGTTTGTTACGCATGTATAAATCGAATATGTTCTGACCTTACAGTAATGATAAAACATACTTGTAGTAAATTAATAATACATGATTAATTAATTAACATACAAATAAGTGAATAGAATAGAATAGAATACTATGCTATATTAAAATCGATAGACAAATAGCAAATATAATCAATGTATATATGGTGGCGCCAGAGTATTGGGGGATATTGGTACAAGCCAGTAGGCTGATTGGCAATCCACTCCGCTCAAAAACAAACAAACATGTTTTCGGCTGTTTCAATGGTAGGACATGAACGTAAAGCTGACGTCGGGTTATAACTAAAACCGGGCCCCGTATACGTTCACTTTATTATTAGCGCATATTTTGCCGTTATAATTATTATTTCCGACCTTTTTGCCATTGTATTTTCTAGATTCTTTGATTAGCATTTACATTTCATTCAAAGTTCGTAGTCGGCACCGATGCGCACCTCGGCCAAAATAAAAAGCACGATCATTTGAACACTGCTATTACATGACTGGTATGAGGTAATACATTTGTGTATTACAACGGCGGGTGAGGATTTTTTTCCGATTTTACCACCCGACTAGAGTGACGGTTTGACGGTGATTTTAAATTAATGGAAATCATAGCGGAGCGGATAAATCGTAATTTATTACATCAATACAATCGCCACATGGTTAATATGAGTAATACAATTACTAGTCTGAGATTCAATGCAAATGATTGAATGCAATTGTATTCTTGTTACAGCTTGTGTTACTGTGGTTCTGAGTAACTCTACAATAGATGCCACAACTACGGATGCAACGACACTAGATGCCACGACACTAGATGCTACAACGAAGGCTACAACGCCAGTCGACAATACCACCATTTTAACAACGGACACGAAGCAGACTACAGCCACTCAAAAACCCACTCCGTCTACTACCATCGGCAGCTGGGAAGTGATTGGTGAAAATAACAAGACGTGCATTTTGGCGACAATGGCGATATTATTCTCAATCTCATACGAGAAAAACGAT